GTAACATCCAACATTTTTGTGTCCTGAAAGAGTAAACAGCATGCAGAACCGTTCCCTGTTATGACTATAACTAGTCTACATACTAAACATATTAAAACGTCAGGCGTGGGCATCGACAGAAGGTTAAAACTTTAAACGATATTTAAATTGGCAAAATTTAAGCAGTCGATCAGCAAATGCAAAGGAAAGACGCATTAACTTTGTTACTATGGTATGTTATACTACCGGGCTGCATAACATGGATATCTCTGCATAAAATCTTACCCTTAATGTAATATACATGGTTGATTTGTTTCCCTCCTCTACCATGAGGCGGACATTGCTGATAGTGGCCATACTTGTGGAACGTCTTTATGGCCGAAGCACTGGCTTGGCACCGTCCACCATCCTGAACCGCAAAGACGTGGAATCCTCGCTTCTCGGCAGCACGAAAACATTTGTCGATGGAATCATTCCTGGTCGAGTAGTTACCATCCAAGATATCACATTTTCCTTCCAACGTTTCTATGGCAGGACTGGTTGTATTGTCTTTAAAGCATCCAATTGACTCGTACCGAGGTGACGCTTTTGAATAAACTTGCAAAGTTTTCGTCAAACGTGGAATGGGACGGTCACTATTCTCACCCTATGATTTTCTTCTGCCATTTGTCGGCGGACTCTCTCACGTTTTTTGTTAACTATTAAACCCTTCGGGCCCTAAGAGTTATTAGCATCTACTTTATCCTTACAGTAGTATAATTGCCAAATCAAACAATTCATGAGAATTTAGGAAGTGATCGTCAATTTAAGAATCCTTCGATTGTCAAGCAAATTCTCCTACTCAGTGCCATTAGAAATATATAGAGAACAGAATGGAGAAGATACATATTGATCTTAGGGTGTAAAGAGTTAATTACAATCTCGTCCTGTCGCAAAAGTGGAATTGTGATTGTCCTGGCTATCTTTAAATCTGATTTAAACATTACATGTTATGAGAAAGAAGATGATTGAAGTAATCAAAAGAGCTGCAAGAGTCTAAAGAAAACCAGTGAACTCTCGAAAAATCCAGGAGCGTTTTCTGTAGGATTTAAAACGACTTCCAGACATGCATTTGTTGAAAAAGGAATGTATCGCATGCCTTTCTGATCTGAGATGTAAAAGTTAGTGGTTTTCGGAAGTTTTGCTCGCACAAATTCTTTAAGTACGTCTAGCTCTGATTCTCCGTTCCTTGGTGTACGGTATTTTGAGGCGAAAGTGTGATTAAAGGCGTCACCCTGGTTAATTTTAATCAAACCTTTTTCTAAATAGTTCAATTTTTTTCCTTTCTTATGATACCCTAGAGTTTTAACGCTGTCGTTGTGTGTGTTGTTATCTCACCATGTATGTACTTATTGACGCCCAATTGTTAAAGTTGTTTGCATGTAGCCTTAAAATGTTACGCTCCATTCTATTACACGCAGTTCAAAAAATTGGATAATTGAATGCTGGCGATTGTTTCTTATCCTAATTCTGTTCAAAATACGGCCGCAACTGAATGAGTACTAAGTGGTAGAAAAAACTTTCCACTTCCCAGTTCACAGTTTAAAAAAATAGCTATAGGTACTAACCTAAATTCGCACACTTGTATTTGACTTCCAAGTATTTAGTTGTGTTCTGGCGTGATGAATCATGACCAAAAACTGAATTATCTGCATGCAGCTCGCAACTAGCTTCTTCATTGCACTTTATCCGTACAATGGCAAGAGAGTTCTCAGCTTTGTAGTCTGTATTTTGAACTGTGGTTTGGTTGCAATTGTCTGGGTCTAATACACCATATTTTGCATCCACCACGTTGATTTTTTTTTCCTTCCCACAGCCTATGGTACTTCTTTCTCCCTCGCAAATGAAAACAGACCATACTTTCTCTGAGTAAAAGAGAAGAGCAAAAAAACACAGCATCGTCAATACGCCGAAAAAACTTTTTTTTCAATAATGTTCACTTCTCGAGCACACTGCGACGTTCCTGATCTCGTGCTGGCATCTACTTCACTAATAACTTGCCACGCTGCTAATATTGCAGTCCAGTTTATATCAATTGATTTGGCAGCTATCTTCTTTTATCGTAAAGACATTGTAGCGCTACAAATAATTCATGACAATCAACCAAGCTAGCGTTTGGTAATTTGGCCTTTGACTGACCTGTGCAGTTAATTCCATTTCCTTCAAATCCATCTTTACACGTGCAATTGTAGGATCCCAGGGTATTGTTACACTCAGCATTCACATCACAACCGTTTGTTCCGTTCAAACACTCATCTATGTCTAAGACAACAAAATGACTATCATTGGTCTATCAAAGTTATTTTGAATTGTGCGTTCTGGCTGAAAGTGTTTTGACTTTCATGCTTATGTTTCCTGTTGTGAAATTAGTACACACAGTTTTTCTCACTTCCATAATGTTCTTCCTTACACCTGCATCTGTACGATCCAATGGTGTTATTGCATGTCGCATTACCTCCACATCCATGTTCACCATGTTTGGGAAGCTTTAAAGAGCTTTTCATTGCGTTATATCTTTTCCTGATAATGGGGTCAGGTCTGAATTTTGGCGTAAAAATTCGTACTCAGTTTAATTGACATTTACTTCAGTAAAAAGAAACTGAGAAACTATAGTTAGGTGGCATAGATGCTGACAAAAGACACAAAGAAAAACGGTTTCAAAAGTGGTTAAGGATGGGAAAGAAAAAAAAAGGTGATGAACCCTGCTCAAGTCCCCCTCTTTCTTAATTAGATAGCTTGTGTTTTCCTTGATTGTTCTTACCGCAATTATATTTCACGTTTCTTCCTTAATAAAAGTATAAGATTCCTTACCTTCATCACAGTCATGGCCTTCAAATCCAGATCCAGCGACACACAAACACTGATAATCTCTGTCTGTAAACCCAGCTTGGCATGTTGCGTTATTCTCGCAGGGATTTTGGACGCAAGCATTCTTAAGGAGAAAAGGAAAAGAGAAACTTAAAGTGGTATTTCGGCAGGCATGACAGACTCCTCGCGTCTGTTCATTTATCCCCGTCGCAAGCAGGGAATTTTAAAGGAAAGGAGAGGTGGGTGAATCCTTTGGTCTCGTATCAAAGCTTTCCCGTGGTACAGAATTAGAATTTCCTAGTGGTTATTACCTTGTCAGTATGTAACTTAACGTACTACTACGTGGAGTGGAGTAATATATAAATACAAATACAAATACAAATAAATACAAAGCTTTCCTGGACAAGGACGAGAGTATTACTTCTAGCTCTTAGAATTAATCCTCACCTCAGCTCCGCGGTAAACATAACTTTTGTTTTTCACTAGGTCTCGTAGCACAAGTTACCAACG